GTATACGCGCTTGTACTTGTTGCGCTAGGAATTGTAGTTTTTTTTTATTATAACACGCGAACGCGGTCTTACCTTAAATTCGGAATAATTTTGTTAGATGCGGATTTTAATTGTGTATCACCCTGTACTAAAATTTCTTGCTAGAAAATTCCCTAACGCGAGTTATATTGATAATTGTGTGTATACACACTTGTACTCGTTGCGCTAGGAATTGTAGTTTTTCTATTTTAACACGCAAACGCGGTCTTCCTGTGAGTTCGGAATAGCTTTATTAGATGTGGAATTTAATTCTGTATCTCTCTGTATTGAAATTGTTTGCGAGAAAATTCCGTAACGCGAGTTATATTGATAATTGTGTGTATACGCGCTTGTACTTGTTGCGCTAGGAATTGTAGTTTTTTTATTATAACACGCAAACGCGGTCCTACTTTTAGTTCGGAATAATTTTCATAGATGCGGAATTTAATTTTGTATCACCTTGTATCAAACTTTATTGCTAGAAAATTCCGTAACGCGAGTTATATTGATAGTTGTGTGTATACGCACTTGTACTCGTTGCGCTAGGAATTGTAGTTTTTATTATAACACGCGAACGCGGTCCTACTTTTGGTTCGGAATGATTTTCATAGATGCGGAATTTAATTTTGTATCACCTTGTATTAAAATTTATTGCTAGAAAATTCCGTAACGCGAGTTATATTGATAGTTGTGTGTATACGCACTTGTACTCGTTGCGGTAGGAATTGTAGTTTTTTTTATTATAACACGCGAACGCGGTCTTACTTTGAGTTCGGAATAATTTTATTAGATGCGGAATTTAATTTTGTATCACCTGTATTGAAATTTATTGCTAGAAAATTCCGTAATGCGAGTTATATTGATAATTGTGTGTACACGCACTTGTACTCGTTGCGCTAGGAATTGTAGTTTTTCTATTTTAACACGCGAACGCGATCTTACTGTAAATTCGGAATAATTTTGTTAAATGCGGAATTGAATTATGTATTACCCAATACTAAAATTTCTTGCGAGAAAATTCCGTAACGCGAGTTATATTGATAATTGTGTGTATACGCACTTGTACCCGTTGCGCTAGGAATTGTAGTTTTTTTTATTATAACACGCGAACGCGGTCCTACTTTTGGTTCGGAATAATTTTCATAAATGCGGAATTTAATTTTGTATCACCTTATATTAAAACTTATTGCTAGAAAATTCCGTAACGCGAGTTATATTGATAATTGTGTGTATACGCACTTGTACTCATTGCGCTAAGAATTGTAGTTTTTTTATTATAACACGCGAACGCGGTCCTACTTTTGGTTCGGAATAATTTTCATAGATGCGGAATTGAATTCTGTATCTCCATGTATCAAAATTTATTGCGAGAAAAAAAAAACAAATATACATATATAATATATATATACTCAAATTAATATGGATTACATATTCAACAGCAGAGAAAATAAAAGTAAATTTTAATTTTATTATTTTATTATTTATTTTATTTTTAATTTTAAATTTAAATTTTAATATTTCAACATTGTGAAATTTTAGTTTAGCCTTCTCAACTACGGGTTTACCATTACGTTTGTGTATAAACAACTTTTTTGTTCGACTGACGCGTATTATCGCGACATACGCGACATACCTGCCTTGTACATGGCAACGCGCAGCGCACACGGCAGTCGTTACACCGCGTGGTCCACAAGCGCGTCTCTCTAATCGCCACACGTTTTGAGGTTTTAATTGGATTAATCGACGTGTATTCTTTTGGCCATCAGCAAAATATTCGGGATGGGCATGTGTGGCAGTTTTGTTTAATGATTTATCGCGGTTAGAGTGTTCTTAACTTAAAAATAAGTGTTCGTTAATCCCTGCGCGAATTTTCAGTTGGTAGAATATATTACAGGATATAAAATCTCCTCATCAGTGCAAAGGTAAGTGCCTAATAAATTTCTTCATGGAAACTTCATGGTGCAACAAATTGATTATTCCATTTAAATATTATATATTATTTTTGCATGTAACATCTTGCAAATTACAAACACATTTTTATCAGAATTCTTAATAGTGTTTCGGAAAATAACGTGCATGATTTAATTATTACAAAGACGGTTTTAAAAATTATCTGCGGATTATTAAAATGACAATATTTATGTGGTCGACCGCGCTCACTTTTCCGTCGACCGACCGCTTGGTCATCTTTTGCTGAACACGTGAACGTTTTTAATCGAATTGCACTCGATTGCATTATTAAATTAAGATGTTTCTTGTTCACCTAATAAAAGTCTTATATGATGAGTAATTTTTTGTTTTGATAGTTAGCGTATATCTTACTGTATTGCTACGCGCCGTCGTTTGGCGTCTGTTGATATAGATGTTTTCCGCCAGATATTCTATCAATTTATGATGATGCTTCACCTGTTGGTTACCTTATGCAGTTGATTCTATCATCAAATAATAAATATATACACAATATATTAAAATGTAAGTGTTTTATTCTTGTAACCTCTTCTTACTCAACTTTTCCGATGGTTTTCGTGTAAAATCTTTGAATTCATATTAAAACCTGCTTGTTTCGTTATAAATTTTCCTCGTTATGATGTGAATATTGACCATATTTGTAGTTTGTAACATCCTGTTTATAATTTTTCCAACAGTACGTAGTAAATTTATTTATGAGTTTTGAGTGTTCTTTGTTTTAAATTTGGGATTTTCCTTTTAGAACAACCTGTATTTGTTTTTCTTTGTGTCCGTGAAAATTTTGCTTCAGTTGTGGTTTTAGGGCTTTCTTTTTTGCACTTCAAATTTTCTTTTTGTAACATCCTGTTTATTAGTTTACCGGAGCATCGGTTGAAAACGAGCAATATTTGTAGTGTTTAAGTGCTTTCCCCTTTGATCGTTGAATTTTCAATTTGTGACACCCTGTATAATCGTTTTCCTTCACATCTCTGAAAATTTTACTTTGACTCTTATTAAAATTTAACTTCTGGCACTTAGAATTTTCTTGTTCTAACACCCTGTATCTTAGTTTCCCATACGTTGGGTGGAAAATAAAGCGATATTTGTAGTGTCTTTCTGTTTGCATTTTAAATTTTTCTTTTGTAACACCCTGTATATTGGTTTCCATTTCCGGTCACGTAGAAAATTGGCTATGTACTAATTTCATTATCCCGGCAATACTTTATAAAGTAGTACTTGCTTGCATGTGCGCGGCTAAGCAGGTCATAAGTCCTGTTTCAATATGGCCGCATGTATTCTGTTAACTTGTAAAATCTAAACTTGTATTGTATTAAATTGTATTTGTTAATAAAGAAATATTAAGAAAGATTTTGCCTTATGCTTTGTATGTACCCCTTTTATCATTTCAGGAACAGGTCTCTAAGAGAGTTCCCTCTCTCAGGGGATGATCCCCACTATAAAAATTGTTAAGGTGTCCTGTGTGATTTGTGTGCTCCTTCTTTCATTTCAGCTATAGGTCAGAACTTGTAAGAATATTTTTAAGTGTCACCTCTCTTGAGGCGACTTAAAACTTAGAAATATTTGAACAAGACCTTATAAGGATTGTCCTTATAAGGAGTTCCTCTCTCTGGGGTGATCCCCACCATAAAATTGTTGATATGCCTGATAATTCCGGGGATGAAGCGCAGAGACATCGTAGCTGTAGGATGGGCCGGGAGCAATGGACGGATCGAAGCAGTGGGCCGTAGACTGTCTTATAACGACACGTGCCAAAAAAATTAAAAATCTGATCCTCCCCCCCTGTTCTCTTTCTTCTATCTTCTCTCCTCTTCTCTCTACTCTGTTCTCTTCCTTCTATCTTCCTCGCTTCTCTTCTACTACTACTTCCTTCTTCTTGTTCTCCTATTTCTCTGTTTTCTGCTCCTCCACTTACTTGCTTACTTTTCTCATATTGCCTTCACTTATATTTCAATTTCTCTTATATTTCGTTGCAATTCATATATGCAACCCAAATTACACCTGATATTTTTATATTTGAGAAAAATGCCTTCTATACCTGAGATTCGATCCGTGTCTGCTAGCATGCCAGCAGGTGCACGTCTCCACTCGACCACCGAGTGTTTTATCATTGTTATTTGATTCTTCTATTTATGTTTCTAATTTATTCAACTTTTTAAAAACAACAACACAAGTCTTAGGTATATGCCACTCGCTCGACGCACATAAGATTTATATGCAATATTATTTAAGACGTCAATACTGAAAACGACAAAGAGGATACCACAAAGAAATATGAATGGGATTTTAATATTACATTATGTTTTATTGACAACATTTAAAAATAAATACATTTTTTTTAATAAAAAATATCGACAATTAACAAATTCTACCGCAATAAAGACTTGCCTTATAATTTGCGCATCTCCAAAACATCCGCTATAAATATTGCAAACTCCATTTGTGCACTCACAAACTTCCTTTGTGGATATCAGCGTCTATTTGCACGAGTTAATTATAAACGATAACCGTTTGCCGACGGACACACACGCGCATAGGAAAACCGAAGAGAATCCGCGATTGATAAACACCCAACGCGTGCAATCACACTTTTAAAATCCCGATCACGTTCGATTCTGGTATATGCCGTCGATTGCTTAACAAATATAAATTTACTTATTTATACATTGATTTGCTTAATTATGATCGGACAAAATAGAACTAGTCGCGATGAACACGCGCGGTTTACTCGACGACCGGAATGAAACTGCGGTACACTGGGCTGCACGCAGCCAACGCCGACAACATGCGGCCACTATCGCTGTTGCGATACGCTCGCTGAACGCGACAAAAAAATTGTTTACATGCAAAATATCGGCACGTATTTCGTGACAGCATGGCAGTGCAACTTTTCTTTTCTACGACGTTCCAACTGCAAATCATTATTCCCAATATTCCCAATATTGTTTTCGACCACAACTTTTCAAAAATAACTATATTTAACAAAACACAAGTTACAATTACAAATACAATACACAAATAACACAAGGTGCAATCAAAATCACAACGTAAATTAACAATGGAATAACAATGCACATTTAAATTTACGCACAAAAACCACGACCATGCCTTACTTGATATTACTACTAATTATTACCATTACTCCTACTAGATCAACATATTACAATAAGTCTACCTAATTTCTACGACATGTGTAACAAAAGATGACACAACACACAAATACCTACAATATTCACTTATATACTAATTTCTAATATGATAACAGAAAAATCGTGCACATTTATCACAGACACATATTACAATAATCATACAAATTGATACATATTTCTGGCCTCATTAAATATATATCGCAAGTTAGGACGCCTTAAATACAGTGTGTCATGCTCTATTTTCTCAAGTGGGTAAATTAAATTTAGAACAGTCATGCGCTGTCTATGCTGTTTGAATAAAATTTGTTACATACGTTTTGCAAATTTTGCGCTGTCTTTCTAAATCATATCACACTGTTAACACAAGTATTGCATTGTTTTCAACAAATAATAACTATACTTTGAAACAATGAAACTAGACTATAAGACTTGTGCGGTTTCAATTTCTGAGCGTATTAAATTTGGTGCTGTTTATCAGCAATATTAAACTTTCCTCACTTATTTTGATAATATACAAATAAATTTTGTTAAGAACAGGTCACATTCCTTTTGTCTACCTTCTCTCTTCCGGAATACTATGCAGGACAAATATAGAGTTGGTGGTAAGCGAGCTTATCTGACAGGGAATGTGTCAGATAACGACCAATTATTCTTCTTCATCCTTTTTCAGTTTTCTTCAAAGCCAGCGTTCTGCTTATCAATCTGCGTCAAAAACTTGAACTTAAAAAAACACATTGCTAAAACTCAATTTGTATAATTAAAAAAACTTAACATTAAAATTTATTAAATTAAATTATTTACATTTTAATGTTCAATAACACGTTGTCAAAGAACCTGGAGTTTATTCCTCTAACATCTTAGGACATCGGAATTTGCAAACTTCTAGTCATTCTAGTGTATCCTGCAAGGATAAATGGCGTTGAATTCATCTCGGATGAACCATAACGTCGATAAACCAAATCCGCAGACAAAATTACTACCGAAGAAAGATAAAAATAAAAAACATTTATTTTAGTAGTTAACCAATTTTGTACAAATAAAAACAATTCGCGAAATACAGCCCAATCTCCACCGCGTGTTATTAAAGAACACAAAAATTATCAATTTTCAAGAATTTTTTACAGGGTATTACCGCAAGATTTTTAACGATTGCTGATACGCGTTTAAAAGAATGGTTTTCACACTTTCTAATCGTGAAAAAATCATGCAAATATCTAAAACGATTCGCGAGATACAGCGCAATTTCCACCGCATGTTTTCAAAAAACACAAAAATGAGCAATTTTCAAGAATTTTTTACAGGGTGTTCCCGCAAGATTTTTGAGAATTACTGATACGCGTTGTAAAGAATGGTTTTCGCACTTTCTAATCGTGAAAAAAATCATGCAAATATCTAAAACGATTCGCGAGATACAGCGCAATTTCCACCGCATGTTTTCAAAAAACACAAAAATGAGCAATTTTCAAGAATTTTTTACAGGGTGTTCCCGCAAGATTTTTGACGATTGCTGATACGCGTTGTAAAGAATGGTTCTCGAACTTTCGAATCGTGAAAAAATCATGCAAATATCTAAAACGATTCGCGAGATACAGCGCAATTTCCACCGCATGTTTTCAAAAAAACACAAAAATGAGCAATTTTCAAGAATTTTTTACAGGGTGTTGCTGTAAGATTTTTGACGATTGCTGATACGCGTTGTAAAGAATGGTTCTCGAACTTTCTAATCGTGAAAAAATCATGCAAATATCTAAAACGATTCGCGAGATACAGCGCAATTTTCACCGCATGTTTTCAAAAACACAAAATGAGCAATTTTCAAGAATTGTTTACAGGGTGTTCCCGCAAGATTTTTGACGATTGCTGATACGCGTTGTAAAGAATGGTTCTCGAACTTTCTAATCGTGAAAAAATCATGCAAATATCTAAAACGATTCGCGAGATACAGCGCAATTTCCACCGCATGTTTTCAAAAACACAAAAATGAGCAATTTTCAAGAATTTTTTACAGGGTGTTCCCGCAAGATTTTTGACGATTGCTGATACGCGTTGTAAAGAATGGTTCTCGCACTTTCTAATCGTGAAAAAATCATGCAAATATCTAAAACGATTCGCGAGATACAGCGCAATTTCCACCGCATGTTTTCAAAAACACAAAATGAGCAATTTTCAAGAATTTTTTACAGGGTGTTCCCGCAAGATTTTTGAGAATTACTGATACGCGTTGTAAAGAATGGTTTTCGCACTTTCTAATCGTGAAAAAATCATGCAAATATCTAAAACGATTCGCGAGATACAGCGCAATTTCCACCGCATGTTTTCAAAAAACACAAAAATGAGCAATTTTCAAGAATTTTTTACAGGGTGTTCCCGCAAGATTTTTGACGATTGCTGATACGCGTTGTAAAGAATGGTTCTCGCACTTTCTAATCGTGAAAAAATCATGCAAATATCTAAAACGATTCGCGAGATACAGCGCAATTTCCACCGCATGTTTTCAAAAAACACAAAAATGAGCAATTTTCAAGAATTTTTTACAGGATGTTCCCGCAAGATTTTCGACGATTGCTAATACGCGTTGTAAAAAATGGTTCTCGCCCTTTCTAATCGTGAAAAAATCATGCAAATATCTAAAACGATTCGCGAGATACAGCGCAATTTCCACCGTATGTTTTCATAAAACACAATAATTAGCAACAAATCATTGAAATTGCACGAAAGGTTCACGAAATACAACCAAATTTCCAACGCGTTTTTAGAAAATTCATAAAAATAGTAAAAGTTTCACAGCGATTGTAATGCACTTTTAGTGTGATTTTAGGGGGCGGCAGGGTCGCATCGTATAAATTGACTTTCGCGCTATCCAAATTTGAAAGAATCATTGAAATTGCACGAAAGGTTCACGAAATACAACCAAATTTCCACCTCGTGTTTCAGAAAATCACATACATCGTGAAAAGTGCATAGCCGATTTTAAGACACTTCTAGAGTGATTTCGGGGGGCGGCAAAGTCGCATCGTATAAAATGACTCTCGCGCTATCTAAAAAAATCGTAAATCGTATATCGTGAAACCGTTTTTAAGGCACTTTTAGTAATATTTCCGGGGGCGGCAATGGCTCATTCTCTAAAATAACTGTCGTGGTATGAACATTTGAAAGAATCATTGAATCATTTCAATCGCGAGATCCGAAATTTCATAATAGTCATGAAAAAAATCACAAAATTAAGAATAATCAAAGTATCATATTTTGTTTTATTTAAAGGAAAAAAAGTAGAATATGGAATTTATAGATAAACTTAAAACACATAGGTATTCACTATACCTGAAATGTGTAGTCTACACAATCAAGCGGACAGTGCAAGATTTGAACCGCATAAAAACTTGTTTACAAACTGACATTGATAAACGCGTAGACAAAAACGATAACAATTCTATTGAATGTACTGACTAATTTTGCAATGTTGAAATTTTCTCAAATGGCTACATATAAAGAAACATAAATGCCGATTACAAGACTGTTATATAAACATAATTAATCAGGAAGAGTAAATAAATAATATTAATTCAATGCGAAACTTACCAGTGAAACGATGGCGTACTACAACTGATGTTCCCCGTGGTTTGCAGCAAGCACATGCCGTAAATGCTGGATTATCGTTACAATCCATTTTTCGTAACGAATTCAATTTTCAGTGATATAACGCAACGTACCTCAAATTTACAACACAAATACCGATAAAATGAAATAAATTTCTTATTAGTAATTTAGATAAACTTCAAACAAGAAACAAACGAGGCTTGCAAGAGGAACGCGTGCGGACACACCGACACGTTTAAGACTACTAGGCTACGCTGAGCGCACCGCGTAAGCCGACCCAGCGCGCGCACGCGGCAACATGCGCGCAACCTGGAACGCAGTATTTCCGTAAAGGACACGTGAAAAAAGAACTACTGGAGCCGCAAGGAACATATTTGACTTAACCAACGGACGACGCAGAACAAAGCAATGCCCACTGCGTGCATCGCGTAATAAGCAAACATGCGCGCGTACGCATAGCACGCGTACACGTGACATCCAGCAATTACAGCACACTATATCCTCCAAGGACATGCAGATCGAAACTTTTTATACACAAACAACAACAACACCGTTATTTACAATGCGTTAAAAATTTCCAACTAATTTCTTAACTAGCTTGAAAAGTTTAGAAAATCAGATTTGAGATTTCATTTGGACTGTTCAGATTTTCACCCGGTTTTTTCCGAAACAATGGTGCTATTGGAAAACTATCAGAATATTTTTCATCGCGTTGCAATTCTTTATAAATTGGCGTTTTTCGTTTTGCTCTAGGTTAAAAAATAATTTTTAAGCCATAAATTTATAAAAAAAAATCGATATATTTCGCTATTTACAGTATTTGTTCTTCCTGTTTCCTCATCAATTTCATTAAATATACTTCTAAAATACATCAGTTTGCCGTTAAACGTATAGGTAAGTAGTAGATTTTTTGCCGTCACAATGAATGCGTTACAATATCGCTAATATTCTCAATTTGATGGTTGTCATCATGAATGAAAGAATAAAACAAAATAATAACTAGTCCTACATTACATACTAATATAATTATATAGTAATAATTATACATATCATTTTTCATTCATTATACATAGTCGTTTCATTTTGTACAAAATTGTTTTCGGTTTTTGTGTTTGCGATGCATTGTGTACTTTGCATGCGTTACAATCATTTCTTTCCTCAATGCTAAAACGCCTAAAAAACTACTTTTGATTTAATAAAATTACGTTTGTCTTCAATTGGTACAAAATACCTATGGTTATGAGATTCTTACGTTTTAAATGTTTCATTGGCTAGTGTTTCACTTCTTTTTATACATTATTATTGTTTATATTTCTGTTCTATTGAAGAAAGTCGCAAATTTTGTTTCACTGCTGTTTTGCAATTTTAACAAGTGACAAATATATCTCAATTGTTAATAATAATAGGTTAAATTTCAAATTGCACAAGATTTTTTCCTTTCGATTCATTTTCATTGCAAATGTTCTTTTAAATTTCGATTCGTAATCATATAAAGGCAAAAACGATCGTGTTTCGAAATTATGTACAACACGATAAAATAGTCAAAAGATAAGTAGAAAAGAACGTCCTTATAAAATATATAAAAATTACTCAATCACACGTTAAAAACAACGATTTGATCAAAACGTGTTGACCAAAACTGTTCCCAGAAAACTCCACGATTGTTTCTGTCTGTGCAGAACAATCTAGCAGTAAATGATAAATATTTTGGCAGTGCTAAGGAAATTGGCTTATAACCAGTTCGGTCCAAGAGTTTTCTCCAGAATTCCCGCCGCATCGGAGCGATCCATGTCTCTTAAGATGCGAATCAGGTCCGTGAGCGCGTTGTTCTGCCGATTGCGTGCTTCCCACAGATCTAGAATGCAATCCGTTGGCGAAGACTTCGTTCCGAAGTAGATAAAGCCTCTGTCGACGCACAGCGCCTTTGCTAACATCCGCCAGTCGTTGCCGCGCTTCTGGGGCGTGTCCAAACACGAACAGAGCTGTCTCCTCAACGACTTGCTCATGCGGAAGTTGAAATCGTCCGAGGTGGCGACATTGCCTCGCTCGGTCACAATCAAATTCTTAGGAATCTTTTCGCTCTTTACACTCTTTGCAGGGGAGTTAACATAGTCTTCTTGGCTTAATGGTTTATAGCTTTTTGGCGAGTCGCTCGAACGCGATGTTTCACTGTGCAGCATTACTTTGGGCAAACTCTCATTGTAAGTCTTTGCAGAGTTCGTCCTCATCGAAGACGAAGCGTCATCATCGCGACACGTAATGTCAAAGAATTGATGATTATCGAAGCCGTTTTGGTTCACGCGTAGCTTAAAGTTAAGCAGGCGATTGATATCGAGCGATTCCAGAGTGAAAAGACAGTGTAAGCTGTTGCTGCTCGACTGCCAGAGCTCTTGGAAAGTGATTTCCTGATAGGCCGTGCTCGGTTTCGACTTCCACCCCTCGCTAACACTCTCCATATGCAAGCAAAGCGGCTGTCCACCATCTTGAAAGTTGATCGGTCGGGGTTGATCGATGAGGAAACCTCCAAGGCGTTTCTCCTGCCCGAAAACTGTCTCCATTGCGCTTTCGAGGTCCTCAAGCACATAAACGCGGATGCTATAATCACCAGATGATTGAAAGCATAGCTTCGGTGCGAAAAGTGCCAGCTTCAGTTTCTTCACAGCATTGCCGTTGGTAGATTTACCAACCATGACGTATCGTGCCAAACTGTCAACCATGAGATAAGCAGCGTCTTTGTCAATCTGGCAGAAAACACTACTGTTAACGGTTTCCTGACCGAGGGTAACAGCGGTTTGCCAATGTGAGTTACTACAATCGCTTTGAAGAATGCTAATCGTCCAATTGTTCTGAATCAATTCGGCGCAGTGTGGAACCTTGAGAATGATAGTCTTCTTTAAAGTGACGTTTGGACCACAGGAGATAACCGGCGTGAGTTGTGTATGATCAGCGGAAAGTTTCGGTCTAAAGCAGTCTTCATTCAGAATCGAGAGGAATAATTCTTGTGAGCGTGGACCAGCGACGGTATGTTCAGGGACGATAAGGCTCACTGAACATTCTCTCAGGTGAAGAGATCCTCCATTACTTGAGATGTTGGCTTTCGCGTAGTTTTCTCCAGTTGTTGGAGTAATGGCGTATGCGGCCGGAAATGGCTGAGCTGAAGGATCAGTTGCTACCTCATACGTAGAATCAGCTAAAAATGGTTACAAAATTATGTTGAAAATAAGTTAAACTTGCATAAATATAAATAAACATACAATTATTGGTAAAACCACTGAGTTGACTCCTTTTTCCACTTGAAGATTCCAGAGTAGAGTTGGTAGTCGGTGAGATTTGAATATCAGAAGCCGAAGCAAGATGAGGTACATCGTAGTGATGCTCGGATGCCGAACGGGTCACAGATGTAGCAGGTGTGGTATATGGATATTCATAACATGGTAATCCTCCGGTTTGAGTCAGGTCCGGTTGCAAGTTAAGCGACTTCTTATCCTGCTCCTGATAATATTCCGGATGATAAACTAAAAAGAAACACATCAATATAATTAAGTTTAATCCCTCTGCATAAAATCAATAGAAAATGCGAAAAAATTGCACGTCATTCTTGAATCTACTCCTAGTTGCTCATATTTTCGCCGTCTGGCAAGGACGTCAACAAGGCGGGTATCTTTCGATCAAATGAATATTAATCGCTTCGAAAGACGGGCGTCGAACGCCAAACCTCCACAGCAAGGAGAGGAAAAAAACATCGATCCATTTCCTAAGTTTCCAACAGCCGCGCCACGCCACGCTGACACAGGGTTGGTTATGCATTTAAATGTTTTCTCTTAATTGCGCGCCACGCGGAGTGATGAATGAATTTCGAGCTAAAAAAAATCCAGAACCTACTCCACGCACAAAGAACGCCCGGCATGCCTTGAAACACACGAAAACGGAACCAAAAACGGCCGACGTTTAGAGGGCAAAATTCGATTCATCATCTGCTTCCACGCTGCCGTTGTAATGCGCCAATTTATCCACGTTCAAATGATGCTGCCTAAATGATCATCTCCAGCGATGTTGAAAGCAATGCTAAAAATAGTTAAATAGAGCAGCGGTGCGTAGGCAAAGAGCGACATTACCCGAAATTGAGTGGCACGCGGTGGAAATCTAAAATCGAGTCAGAACCAAACTGAGTGCTGGAGGAACACATTAAAATAGCTTCGACGCGGCGTACTTAATGCACGAAACGGAAAAATACCGTAAAAGTCGCATCTAAAACGGCCGTAAAACGAGGAGATGGACGACTGCGCCCAGAACGATGTTTATTCCTTGAGATATCTCATAGAATAAACAACGCAACAAGTATCAAGAACGACTTTAAAAACAAAGCGAAATCATACAAGGAAACGTCTTGAGCAGGCTCGCGGGTGTGTCGATTTGTTTCAAAACAAACAAAAGCGAAAATTCCGAATCACAACGTATCGAAACGTGAGCCATATTCTCGGTTGTTTTGAGATTCGTAAGAACAACAAACCCGAGGCGATGGAATTGGCTTTAATTTAAGAAAAACCCAATTTGTATCTGACATTGGAAAAACACGCGACTTGAGTTTCACTTCACTGGCAGCCATCAAACGCAAGAAAAACAAAAACAAACGTTATGAAGGATAATAAAAGTCGAAACTGATATTAATGTCACTAGAAATGTCCAAACAGTCAAAAAGTAGTAGAAACTAGTTTGAAACCGCTGGAAATATTATAGTTATGAATGAAAAGTGAATTATACCCGTGTAATGCAAATGCGTCACGCATGATTTACGCAAGTGGAAGTTGTAAACCCGAATAATTGGCCTGAATATTTCGAAATAGGATAACGTCTATCGGCCCTCACAAGAATTAAACGTTGTGCGTTTCACCGTCTTCGAAATCTTCGCGTTTCACATGTGCACTTCATTTAAATTCGAAAACGTCGGCATCCCGGGACCATAAAATCGTTAACGTTGCGTTAATTGGCGCGTCGTTTATCCATCATAATTTTTAATTAGTCCCACGACGCCACGCGTGTGTTTTAAAAAAACTCTTCGATAATCACCGTCGCACGAAGATGGGAAAACATTCCCGAACGAGTTCCGAGCGTGCGTTATGAGCGCGTTCATAATTTCGTGATCTAATCGCCGAGAATTTAGGGTATTATTTTAATGAGACAGGGCGTTATTATTATTAGCGTGGGTTTATTTTATGTCTTCTCCTGCGTTCTCACCCGCTGCTGGCGTTTGGCATGTTGACGCGTGCGACGCACAAAAATGCCACTTTATTACCCGTGACAGCTGTTTTACTCGCGAGCCGCATAAGTTACGTGCAACGTATTTAAATGCACTCGCCGCGAAAGCTTCGAAAAGCGTTCGAACGCGCTTCGGGTAGGTCTATGTAGTAGTTGTATTCACAGGCGGACGTAGTTGTAGGTTCGTGCTTAGTTCATGAATTTTATATTGCACACACCGGAACGCAACATCTGCCGTCTAATTTATTACTCGCGCCGGTGAAAAACGGCAGGCGGGCGAGCCAATTAGGTTGTAAACAATATTAATCGCATGCAAATCTTAACATAACCTCAATTGATACCTACCATTGGATCCAGTGCTGTAATCCGATTGATTTCCTTTCCTTCTATAGAATCTCACCAATCCATAAGATGCCAAAGCTGCGAAGAAGATGACGCAAAATATGATGATGTAGAAATAGATGTCCGATTGAGTATTTGAAAGATTTTCTGTAACAAAATGAATCGATTGAGGTTGATATTCGTTTGTACACAGTGTAATTCGCATTAATAGAGCAATTAATATTGATATTCACTTTGCCGGGCACAATGGCAGCGTATTTACGCAGGCAAACATTGGCTCATCCCTTTCGGGCATGTGGAAGCATGTAATCGCGTACCTAACCTCAACCAAAGCGAACAGATGAACTGTATCAACAAACGCGCGCGCCAAGGAAAGTCCATTATTTCAGCGGACGGCCGCATTCTCTTCGTCTAATTAAATATTAAAGACGGACAAACGACGCACATCTGCACCCTTCGACCACCACCCTATATATAGAGCCGGGGAGGAGAAGGAAATGTTTGGATGGCGAATGGGACCGAATGGGTTCATTGATGTCGGCGTAGTGTGGTGCAGATGTAGATGGTTGTTTTGATGTGAGATGTGCGAATGCGGCTGAAAGAGATGAAGTGAAGGGAGATTGAGGTTAGATGTAGATGGATGTGGGTAGTGGGCACTGGACGTCGATGGACGCGTCCACTTTCGAGGTTACGGACTCCTCCTCGACGGTCCCACTGACCTAATAGCTTATTACATAATGCATTTACCCTGTTTGGATGGCCGGCTATATCCGGCGGCGAGCGCAATTTACACCCTTATTAAGGAAGAGCAGGCCCAGCAAACCGGGCGGCTGCTTTCGACGCCTTTCATCAGGCCAACAACAACTTGATCTATATTCCTGACACATCGTCCTCGACCTGACATTCCAACGAAATATTGATAAACAAAAAATACTGCAGTGTTAAACCGGAAGTAATAAAGCTTTGGATTTGGATTAACATTGAATATTTGTAAAGTGTATTAGTAAATAACAAACGTATCGAATTAGCGAGTGGTTTCCATGTTGAATTTCGAATTGAAGGCTTGACCAAAGCCAAAAGCAAATAACCGATAGCCAAACAGCTGAAAACGCTTTGATATCATAGTTGCGTATGTTTGCAGCAACTGTGTGCGGTGTAATGTGATTCAAAGCGATGCAAACTCCGAAACTCCGAAGACCCAAACTCCCAAAATTCCAAATTAAACATTAATAAATCGGATTTATCCGTCTTGGGCGATTCCTTTGAGAATACAAGTTCATTCTTCAAAGAGTGAAACATATCCGTGTAGTCAAAGCAAATATTTCTGATCAATACGCGCGTGTGTATCCGAAATATTTGTATTTGAATACGCGATCAAAATGTAAGAAAAATGTGTTGCTTTTTGATGCAGTCGTCGTGTCGCGGCACGTGCTATCGTTTTTCCGATTTCCTGATTTTCCGCCTCGCGCCAATGTCGATATCAATGGCGCTATGCGAAATAAAACGTCGTGCAAAGCAAGAATTTCGCCGACGCGCGCCTCTGTGTTCTCGGTGGAAATTTTCGATTCCCGACCCGGCTGGATGCTCGATTCCGCTTGATTTCCTCTCTTCCACGCCTCGCGCGCGCCGCGCAATAAGCAGCATCGCGTTTCATTTGATTTTATTTCATCTCCGGGCGCGCACGCTCGCCAAAGGGCTTCCAGCGCGTCCTCCCAACTTCTTACTAACACATTTCGCACGTCTTTTATTCCTCTTTTATTATTACGTCGAAAGCTCATGATTCTCATGAATCTCTCGACTTTGTATCGAAAAACTTCAATTCGCAGCCTCTTCATGTAATTAGTTTTTTCGTCAGCGCAAAACATCAACATTTTCTTCACTCCAGCGCTGGATATTCGGCGTTTTTGACTAAAACAGACGTCGCGAGTTAAAAGCTTAGCTGGGATCGCATTTCATTTGACTAATGGACCGGAATAGTTCGCGCTCGTCCTCTGAAATCAAACGCGAAACGGCGCCCCTTTACGAAGCAAAATACATAAAAATCAACAGCGCAGGAGAGAAGAGCGAAGCAAAGCAAAAAAACACACGCTGGAAGCTGCCGTTCGGTACGTAAATGAGCGCCCACTTAATTGATAACATCTGGAATTTTATTCGACGGCCGCGCGCGACAAAAAAATCGCGTCGCCGTCGCGCAGTTTAAGCGAAACATGAAATTTCACTTAGTCGCAAAGTGCTAATAAAATCCGGGGATAATAAAGACACAGGCGCGCTGCTGATGCTTTAGCACGACTATACAATAATTTGTACACAACTTGTACATTTACACGACAAAATCTAACAAATTAACACCGCGCGCATGAATGATGAGTCAATTTTCATGGGAAACAAAAATGTTCGATTCGGACATTAAATTTTGAAATTCCTGCCGCAGGATATCATCGGGATATGTTCATTACGTGACTGAACCCTTCTTACCCTTCGTCCTGCTTAAACTCAACGCTCGCCGGCGTTTGTTTTATGGCCGGTTACATTGCTTGAATATTTAATCATCTTTGCATGTGTTCCAACTTAATAGAAAGGAAATCGAAATGATATCACTATAAATTCAGGCCTTTAATGTCGCCATTACACCTCAATGATAGCCGAATCGAAAATTTTACTTCGAAATTGATTCATCAATTTCAGCGATTTGCAAACTCAACACGTACACCGCCAGGATATTATAGAATTATCACTAAAGTTAATATATAGGTTATGTTAATATTTCATAACCTAAAAAATAAAACCGGAGTGGAAAATAATTATGCCGCATTAGAATAATTAAAAAATAGTTAGCAGTGTTAAAATATCATGTAAGCACATTAGCGTTTTTCATTTTTCATTTTTTTCCAGTTTATTTATGATCTTTATGATGCGTACGGGCTTTATGAAAGTAAATATTTCCCTTGATGAAGCGCAGGTAAACATGGCGCTGACTGAAATGACATGAAATGAAATGGAAACGGAGTAGCTGGGAATGGAACGAAAATGAAAATGAGTTTTCGCTTTTTATGCGCGCCGAGCACGAGGGTAAACAAGCGCTTAATGGCGGCCGGCATAGTAAAACTATACGCGTTGACCGCAGGTGAAACCCGTTCGGACAGAGCTATAAAAACGACTAATTTATTCCCTAGGTGCGACCAGACGTCCCGACGTTTTCATATTTTCCCGCGCCGCGCTCCGTCAGTTTATCACTGACAGGAGGCTCGTATAAATCGCAATCTGTGTTTATTACGCACAATCATGACACAATCACAACTACCACACAACAACCATCAAAACACACAAATGTACAAGCCGTTAAAAAATTTTCAACCAAAAATTTAGTTTTTCGTTTTAGATTAATAAATAAATCTCCGAATGGATGAATGAAGTGATAAATGTGGCTTGAACTCGATACGAGTAAACTGCGAGGTGAATTGGTGAAGTGAACCAAACGAAATGTGCAGCAGTCAAATCGGCAGTGCTTCTTTCATTTCGTTTCGCTGTGGTTTTCCATTTTTCGTAAAAGGTTCATTCATGCCGGCAGCAGAAATGCACATTCATTCTCGTTCGCATTCAGTGCGATGAATGCCACGTGTATCTCTGGTAGTCTGCTAGTTTCGACTCCATCTTTCAATCTTTCTTTCAGCAAAACTTTCAACACAAGAGTTTTTCTGAGTTTCAGAAAGTCAGGAATGTTTTTCATTTAGAGTTAGAATTTCTGTCAACTTTTAGTAAAAGAAGGCAAAGAATCCTCAAACTTAACCTCAAATTATAATTTTAGTCTTTATTTGAGTGATGTTCATTTTGCGAGAGTAGAAATTGATCCTTTAGTTCTTTAGGAGCTGCTATTTGGCATTTGCGTACAATTCCTTTAGAATGAGGATCCTTTAGAAATCCGTCCATGCGCTTGAAATTGCAGAAATTGGTCTTTTGCATTCGGCTGGCGGATTGTGGAATGCAATGTCGAGCTTCGAGGCATTCAGTATACTTGTATCAAGTTTCGTGGTTTCGATTCAATCTCTTTTGATTTCATCCGTATCCTTCGAGCGAGGATAACTAATACATCTCATTTTCTTCAATTCGGAAATCAGCAGTCCAAAAAGCTTTACGCTTCGCAGATGGTAAAAAGACTTCTAGGGTTGATATATTGACATTTGACACGTGTCACTTTCTTGATGAAACCTTTTAATTTTTATCCTCACCACAACATCATAATTAATATGAAAAGCACTCGTGGAGACGAGTGTAAACATTCGATCCGCCCCCCGAAAGTGTCATTACTTTCACGTCAGACTTATACGCTGCTGGTTGACGCGGGTTGCGGATTAATTAAAATCGGGCGTTCTAATTGCCGAACGAAGTCGGTTCCGGTTCGACGGACTTGTTTACAACCGTCGCGCGCCCCGCAAATTGGCGGGCGAAAAGATTGCGCCACCATTCAGCCACCCTTAAAGCACCCTTTACGTCCTCCGCATCCCCAAAGGCACATGTGAACACCACACCAAGTCTCGATTTGCGTTACGGCCACGCGCACGCAGCGGCGATAAATCGTCGGGAGGCGGCAATAGCGTCGCACGTTCGTCCCGGAAAGTGCGTGTGCGCCGGAATTTGATACACGTTGATATACGTCCTCCTGCGTCCTGGTGCACGGCCGAAATCGAAAGATAAACCATATCGACGTGCACGTGACATGCACGGCGTCGCACATGGCACAGATTCCACATCCACCATCCACCCCCAGATGTGTTCCTGTTATTGCTGCTTGCAAATTGCGCGAGCGCGTCGAAACGGGTGTCATTAGAAAACGCGCCGTGCGGGAAGGACGCAATCACGAAATCGGTTAGCAATTAGCACCCCTGCATTCCTCTGCAATCCGCCCCTGCACGTAGTCGTATGTGACGCGCATGAAAATTGCCCATTCTCGAAATTGAATCACTTTCGAACACGTTTTTAACCCTTTTACTTTCTCCGCCATGCATAGAAATTAAATATCGTAGTGCATGACGCCATTTTTAATTTTTTAATTTTGCAAATGGTGTAATAACACTAAAAATAAAATTAATCCTTTCGGAAATGTCTGGTCGCCATCTTGTCATTATCGTTCGTTTTTTTCTTAAGTTAAC